TAGGTTTTGATTAGGTTATACCTTTCGAAAGTGGTGCCTCCCGCAGGGGAGGGGCGGAACCCACTGTATCCACGTGTATATATTTTACTTTGACTCTCGCAGAGAGTGAACTTTGCTTCATCTTACAAAGTACACGCGAGATCCATTTCACACCATCTCTGAGTCAGTGCGAAATGAGGTCTATTACTGAGTGGTTCCACATGAGTTTGTAATTTTTCATGCGAAGCGAAGACCCATAGACCTAGCCTTGTTTTGATTCAGGGATGATGTGAGATGGATTTCGCGTGTTTGCAAGTTGAAGCAAAGTTCACTTTCTGTGAAAGTCAAAATGTATACTTGCAGTGTGAAACATGAACATCTATATGTATACAACATCAAAAAATGTTTCATTTGTTGAGGATTGAACTCACAAGAATAAGTAATAGAAATCGTTTACAATGATGTTTAAGGAACAACTAAACATTTGTATATGAATAAGAATCGAGAATACAATTCATGTTTATGTAGGTTATATATACTATAATTCTATCTACACAGTGTCAATAAAATTTAAATTCCACTTATAACTTCTTATGTTGATAATTTTTCAACGAATCACGAGCGACGGCTGAAATCTTCTGAAGGTTACTCAGAAGGGTGGCCACTATAACATATGTTAAGGTCAAAGTCATCAGAGATTGCTCCCCTAAAGTAAATAATTACATCTGAGAAGAATATAAGAACGATATTGCACCACTGCTGCCAACTCTGTCACTAAAACGAACGTTTCCTGGCACTAATGCTGGCACTAATTTCTCTAACTGTATAGCGCCAATACGCTTTTTGAAAGAAAGGTATCATTCATGGATGTAATATACATGAACTCCGAATGTCCTTTGTTTTGCCAATTGTGAGTGAAGCCAACATCTAGAAAGAGGGGAGCTCTTTTCTCTTCTCTCTTTTTGTTTTTTTACAATTCGTCTGCGTAGAGAGAGAAACAAAGAATAGAGAGGCTGGATTATCTATCTCTTTCTATATGGCTTTCTATTGGCTTCACTTTTTTGGCCATATGCGGCGTCCATATATACTATATCCATGGTATCATTATCCTTGACAGTGCGAGTCCTTTGTTCGAATTAAAATTTTTGTGTGCTTTATTCTTAAGAATATCTTATACAATTTGAAACTATTACATTCGATGAGAATCAATATATGACTTCTAAATTTCTTCCAGAAATATCCCTGTCTAAACTATCTTTCCCTAATCCGCTCTCAACAGATTGAAACTACAATATTATTACGTCTTATAAGATACCATAAAATGAGCAGAAAACCAATTAATATTTAATATTTTAATTAATATTTTTATTTGTTATTCGCTTGTTGCTAAAAAGTTGTCAAAGCTTTCAAAGTAAAAAATTTTGCTCTGCAAGTTTCCTTAAAAAATAATGTTTTTAAAGGAAGATTAAAGTAACGAAACAATATGTATTGTACATATAGGAACAAAATTATACATAACACTAATATAAAAATTTATTACTTTCAAAGTATTCAATTTGTTGCAAAATAAATGTGATAATTACTTATATTAACGAACATCTCATCGATGACCTTGACTTTTGGATATTGTAGGGGTGAGGTTTATTGAGGGCTGATTAATTTTTCTCTTTGTTTTATTTGGCGGTCTCTTATGGTTTTTGAGATATTTAATGGAAAAAGTTTAGTGATTAAAACGTAATTTTCTAACTCCATATACATTTATTACACAAATTACATGTATCAGATATTTGCTTACATTATATTATGAGTTTCTGTTAGTTTAGTTTGCTCTATATTTAACCACGGCCTTCGCTTCGCCTTGAATAATACATGCGTGGACACCGTGGATTCCCAGATATAACCTAATTCAAATCTATTTATGATTTAATATCGAAATTAGGTTTTGGTTAGGTTATATTTTCTAAAAGTGAAGCTTCTCGTATTTCTGAAAGTGAAGCCTCCCGTACGGAGGGCGAAACCTACGTGTCCACGCAGATATTTTGCAAGACAAAGTGATGTTTTTTTTACATTTAACCATGGCTTTCGCTTCGTTTTGCGAAATATACGTGGATACCGTGGGTTTCTTCCTTCCCCTTATAAAGGAGCTCCACTGCCGGAAGATATAACCTAACCCAAACCTATTTCTGCTTTATAACTAAAATTTGGGTTATATAACCAACGTTTCATGTCTATTAAGCTGGCACAGCCACTTCAGCACAATCGAATAAAACTTATATATAATACTATAATAATATATTTAGTGCTCTTTTGTTGCTCACTTCTCGATTTTGTTGCTCCAGTTGATTCAGAAAAAATAGTGGCTGTGCTAACTTTAAAAAAAATCAAATAATTTTTTATTTATCGTATGTTGTTCTATTATACAGGGTGTATTCTACAAAGTGGAAAATATTGCTATGGTGGATTCAAGACACAAAAATAAGAGAAAAAGATCATATAAACATATGTCCGATATGATCTTGTTTTCAAGTTATAGCTTCTTTTATTTTTTAACAGAATTGATAGTTAAGGTAACAGGAAGTGCTCAAAATGACTACTTCTAACTTGAATACAGGCTTCAACACGTCTTATCATAGATTGATTATTTCAAAAATTTTGGATATTGCTCAAATTTATCGGCAACCATCTTCAACACATTGAAATAGCTCGACATTGTCAATGGATGTTTTGTATATATGTTTATACGAACTTTTTCTTTTATTTTTGTGTCGTGAATCCACCATTGCATACTTCCCACTTTTTAGGATACACCTTGTATAATGTCATTTCGTCATTCCATACATGTTAATACATAATTACGAAAAATTAATAGTATTTATCAAAATAAAATATTTTTTATAAAACTTTAATAATTCTTATAAAATGAATTTTATTATAATGCTTGCTAATTTTTTAAAAAGATAATGAATGTGAGCGATACATTTTTATATCAACATAACGTTGCCTCAACATAAAAAACATAAAATCATGTAATTCGTGGAATGCGTATACAGAGTGTAACTGAAAAAGCGCTCACGGTGCAAATAGCGTTATTCCTGATTAAAAATTCGAATCGAAAAGTCCTGAACCATTTTTTTCTATAATGTTTAATAAAACGGTAATTATTAAGTAAAGTTGCGTCAATAAGCACTGACTTTTAAACGGGTGCACGTCAGTGAGCCGCGCGTCTGGTAGTGTGTGTGAGCGCTCCGCTGCTACGGCGCTATGTCATGCCTATCGCGCAATATTCTTATGCGTTGTAATAATGTGAAAAATTTTATTTTGCATTAAAAATCATATTTTTTCGTCAAAAGTATTTCCTTAAAGAAAATTTTGACAAGGAGGTTAAAGATCGGTACTTATTGGCGCAGCTTTACTCAATAATTACCGCTTTATTAAGCATTATGGAAAAAAATGGTTCAGGATTTTCCGACTCAATTTTTAATTAGGAATAACGCTATTTGCTCCGAAAGCGCTTTTTCAGTTACACCTTGTATACATACGATTGCATATAATTATTTTTATATACATCTATTAATTTTATTATTTGTATTTATAATCTATTAAGATGAATTACTCAGAAATTATATAATTTAAATAATGATATCAGATTCTAAGTCGTCACAATATCACAATATGTCAAATTAAATTATAATACACACATATATATACAGAATGTCCCAGTTATCTTCTGTCCACTAAAACTCGTTAAACTGAAAGTAATCTTAAGGACATAAAGTCCTGCATCATTTTGCATAAAATTACGTAAAATTTCGAGGTATTAATTAAAGAAGATCGGCCAATAGTTGCGCGTGGCTAAGCATAGTCGGCCATTCCAGCGAGGACGGCCCACCTTCTGCCCGAAACATGACTGCTTGCGACGATGAATATCAGGTGGCAGAAAAAAATGAAGTAAAAATGATTCTTATAAACTTGTAAACATCATATCTAAAAATCTAAAAGTTTTTTTTCGAATTCTTAACATTCTTTTAAATAATTTTAGAGTTCTATGTAAACATTTAAAATTATTTTAGTGATTAAATACAAAAAAAATTCAAAAATATGATGCGTTAAAGTTCACGCATCGCACCAAATCATATAAAATCATGTAAAATCAATTATTCTTCGGAATTTTATTTTACAATAGTTCTGCAGTTCTAAATCAAATATACCAATTTTAGCAAATTAAAAACAAAAAATTGATTTTTGATAACTCGAACTATAATTCGTCTACATATAATTATTTTTATTTACGTAACATATAATTATTTTTCAAATAAAAACTATTTTCAAACATTTAAAAATCAATATTTATTTAAAATATTATAATTATCTTACAGGGAAAAAGTTATAAGATTTGTAAAATTCAAAGAATATTGCGCAGAATTCTTATCAGATCGACTAGAGTCCGTAAAAAAAAAATTGTTTAAATAAAATGATTGTTTTAAATGGTTGATTTTATATGCTAAAAATAGTTTTTGTTTGAAAAATAATTATTTGATTAGGAAGTGATTAAAATTTCTTACAAAATCGCATAGAAATATCGCAAAAATACGATCCGATCTCATTTTTATTCACAGTAGTTAGGACTGACAAGAATTAAATTTTTTATATTTCGATAACTGAACTGAATCAATCTTTAATGATATATGGAGTACATGAAATTTTTTGCTTAGAAATAAATTCTAGAATACATTCTAGAAATTCGTATCCTCATGGAATATTTGATTGTGACAACAAATTTTATAAAACTTCTTCAGATTGATGATCATGGGTAACGCGTCCACATTCGGTGAATGGATAAGCTATTACAGAGAAACGCGAATAAAACGGAATTTATGATTCGTTCATCGTATCGAAAGTAACATTGACCTCGATCCAAATCGAGTCCTACTTATTAGACAAGATACTTTAGGTCGCACCTGTGTATCTCGCACGCGAAACCGGTTCAGAAACGTTAACCATGGGATGCATTTACTTTTCAGACGACACAGTAATGGACAGCTTCGCAACGGCGAATCCTTTTACAAACATCAAGGATTAAATTTGAAGAAGAAGAAGAAGATTTCGCTCGCGGAGCGGAATCTAGATGCTGGATAGGACGAGGGAATAGAGAAGAAAAGAAGAGCGCGAGAGAAGAAACAGAAAACGCAGACGTATCAGACTCAAACAAAAACCGAGTTTAAGATAAGGGAAGAAAGAGGGATGGGCGCTGGGATGGGTAGGAGTGGCACGAGCGGCGGTCTTCTCGAGGCACTTCCCACGGGAACCCCGTTTCACGTGGCGATGCTTGGCCTCGATAGTGCCGGAAAGACAACTGCCCTGTACAGACTCAAATTCGATCAATATCTCAATACTGTGCCGACTATCGGTTTTAACTGCGAAAGAATTCGCGGTGGCATCGGAAAAGCTAAAGGTACGTTTTCTTTGTTTCTGTTCAGTTTTTCTAAATTGTTTACAAAAAAATTTCAATAAACTAAGTCTTAATATTTTTTGAAGACCAATTGTCATTTTTTCTTATTCTTCTTACTAATTAAGTTTGTAAAATTTTTCATTTTCCATTTGTTTTCTGTGTTTCAATTTTATTCTTGCATTATGCAATATATAATTAAAATGATAATTAAAATGAATATACTCAAGAAGATGATGTATAAACATATTATTTTATATTTATTTTCTCAGTCTGAATTGATTATGTACATAGTTATTTATAAAAATTTTAATAAATTAAGTCTTAAGTAATTATTTTTTAAAGTTTCAATTTCTTACTCTTTTTTATTTTTTACTAATTGAATTTTCTTGAGCTGAAATTCTCTTTTTCCGCTCTCTATTTCAATTTTAACATCTGCACCATACAATGCAATTAAAATTAATGTAATCAGAAATATTATATACGAGCATATTTTTTTATATTCGCTTTTTTTATTCTAAATTAATTGCATATATAATGATATATAATTTATGTAGACATGAGCAATGTTGAATGAAAAAGCAATCAGCAAATAAATAGATTATAAAAGATAAAAATGTTTAATTATCTATTATATTTTGGAAAAATTGACTAATCATTTAAATTTTAATTTTATTGTAATATGTAATTATTAAATATTAAACTGATAATATATTCTATTAATTGCATTGTTGTACAATAATATATATACATTGCATAAATAACATTCTCTGTAAAAATGCAATCGAATGAACAATTATTCTTTCATAATATATGTGATTTTGATATTTGATTCTGAAATTAGTGTAATGAATTGAAAATTGTCATATATTATATTAAATTCGAGGAATTCTTTAATTAAAATCTATTAATCTAATTACATATAATTCAATAAAAAGTAATGTTGTTTTAGTACAAAAGTAATATTTTTTGTAGTTTTTTGACATTAAATACGACTTCTGAATTGCTCTATAATGTTATAAATTCGAAAACTTTGCAATTAAAATTACAGAAAACGATTATTTTATTATATTTCGTCATATACATTATAACTACAATGCGTAATGTGTTCGAGAAATTTTATTGCAATCAAAATTAAAAATGATATTAAATGATTAATCTTGTCCTTGTGTTTTCTTTGTTCAACTATGTTAAACAGGATGTTTCACAATTTCTGTATAATATTTCAATAGCGTATTCTAAAGATAAAATGGAATAAAAAAATCCTAATATAAAAATGTCGAGACCTTAATAGTTTTAATAATTTAACTTATAAGTGATTAAAATTTATCAACGATTTTGTATAGAATTCTTGACCAAAAAAATGAAAAGTAAGACAGTTAATAGAAACTCGTAAATAATTTTAAGCCTCCATTTGTCACGCCAAATTACCACCAATTTATGAAATCCATGAGAGATAGGGAGAGGAAGGAGGCAAAAATTTTTTAAATAAAAATTCGAATTTCATCACTCGATTTAATAACTCGGTTTCAAAGAGATTCAACGATTAAATTAAGAATTAGGTTAAATAATAATTTAGTAAATGTTTACTTTACGTCACACAGTTCGAAAAATTTTTATTTTCAGATATGTTGTAGAGGACACATTCCTTATCCATTGTGATTGAACTCTTCGCAATGCGTCCTCTACCGGCGGACTGAGTGCGGGAGGGGGGGCCGAAGGCCCCCCTTGCACTCCCCGCGCGCGCGTGTGTGTGCGCCCATATTTCTTCTTAAACTATACATGATATCGTAAAATTATATTCTATTCTTGAAACTTTTTTTATTAATAACTATTTAATAAATAACAATAAGCGGCTAAAACCTTCTGAAAGTTATTCAGAAAGATGACCTCAGGAAATGTAAACACAAAAATATAAACATATTTAGAAAGTAACGAAAAAAGATAATACAAATAAGTATGAAACTTCAAAATTGCATATCTCAAGAATGAAGAGAGAACGCCACAAAATTCAAACGGTGTATTACTTAGGAATGTATTTTCTACAACATATGTGAAAATAAAAATTTTTCGAGCTGTGTGACGTAAAGTAAACATTTACCCATAATTTTTTTAATCCGACCTATAATGTTAAAATCGATCTTCGATATTGCACACACACACACTTACGCGATAATTTTGTTAAGCAGTATATATATGTGTGTACATATGTACATACATATATATATACATACAGGGTGAGCCATTTTAATTTATCCACCCCAATAACTTTTTTATATTTGAATGTACAACAAAATGTTTCAAATAAAAGTTGCTTGACTTCGAGGGGGACAGAAGATGGGTGGCAAAAATTTGACCTTGGATAGTCATTTGAAGGTCACATGAAGGTTACCTTCAATTTCTTAAATGGAACCCCCTATTTTTCATTGCATATTCTTGTAGCTTATCTCGAGAGCTTTCCAAAACACTATAAGTACCTTTTCATTAAGTACTTTTTGAGTTATAAGGCTTGAAATAATTTCTTAATTTTACATAAACCATAAAATATCTAGTAAACCATTCATTTTTCGATTATCTTACCTTGATACTTTTATATACAAAATAATGAGAGGAATCAATTGGTGTAAAGAAAACATACAGTTGTTTTTAAGAAAAAATATGGAATTGTTAATTGCAAATTACATATTTTTTCTTAGAAACAATTATGTGTTTTCTTTACACCAATTGATTCCTCTCATTATTTTGTACATAAAAGTATCAAGGTAAGATAATCGAAAAAGAATGGTTTACTAGATATTTTATGGTTTATGTAAAATTAAGAAATTATTTCAAGCCTTATAACTCAAAAAGAACTTAATGAAAAGGTACTTAATTATAATGTTTTGGAAAGCTCTCGAGATAAGCTACAAGAATATGCAATGAAAAATAGGGGGTTCCATTTAAGAAATTGAAGGTAACTTTAGATTTATTATTAAGATAATAAATCTTAATAAAATTAAGATTTATTCTCTTAATAAAATTAAGATTTACCTTAAATTTATCTTAATAAATTTCTCTTATGTACAGAATAATAAGAGGAATCATTGTTGATGTAAAGAAAACATCCCACATAGCAAAAGTTGATCTTAGGTACGACCACTATATACTTCAAAAACTTTTAATTATCCGAAGGATATCTGTATAAAATTGGATATACTTAGAATATACTGAGGATATTTGAGTCCGCTTTCATGTTATCCTTAGGAGATCCAAAAATAGATATCTCTGGAATGAATTACATAACAAAATTAAATCCCAACAATATTCACTGGAGGTTTAAAATGTCTTTTTCATTGTTCTAAACTGATCCAGAGGAAATCATTAAATATATGAATCTATATAAAATATCTCGAACGAAATATTTTTGAAAAAATATTTTATGCAAACACAGTATAGTTTTAAAAAAGCAATAAAATAGTAATCTCAAATAGTGTCGCCAAAATAAATTCCAATGGCATTACAATTTTTTAAATGGAAATTTAAATACTTGAGCTATTTATAAAATTAATACTGCTTTATTGCTTCTTTAAAGCTGAATTATTTTTATCTGAAACTCTAAAGATGATGAACTGATCATTTTTATTTATTTGCCCGACATTTCTTCGTCCGATTTATAAAATCAGTTTAATATCTGAAGTGCCTCCACTGAGGTCGGACATTAAATTGAGGGAAACTATTTTTTTTAAAATCATATTTGTCGCCTTTTGCAAGCTTTATATAATTCTCATTATTAAACTTAAATACGAGAGAAGCGTCGCGTAGCGGTAAACGAACAAACTAGTAATCATATATATATATATATATATATATATATATATATATATATATATATATATACAGGGTAGGCCATTTTAAGTGATCCACCCAAATAACTTTTTTATATTTGAATGTACAACAAAATGTTTCAAATAAAAGTTGCTTGACTTCGAGGGGGACAGAAGATGGGTGGCAAAAATTTGACCTTGGATAGTCATTTGAAAGTCACATAAAGATTACCTTCAATTTCTTAAATGGAACCCCCTATTTTTCATTGCATATTCTTGTAGCTTATCTCGAGAGCTTTCCAAAATACTATAATTAAGTACCTTTTTATTAAGTACTTTTTGAGTTATAAGGAAAACAAGTTATAAAGAAAACACATAGTTGTTTCTAAGAAAAAATATGTAATTTGCAATTAACAATTCCATATTTTTTCTTAAAAACAACTGTATGTTTTCTTTACACCAATTGATTCCTCTCATTATTTTGTATATAAAAGTATGAAGGTAAGATAATCGAAAAATGAATGGTTTACTAGATATTTTATGATTTATGTAAAATTAAGAAATTATTTCAAGCCTTATAACTCAAAAAGTACTTAATAAAAAGGTACTTAATTATAGTGTTTTGGAAAGTTCTCGAGATAAGCTACAAGAATATGCAATGAAAAATAGGGGGTTCCATTTAAGAAATTGAAGGTGATCTTTATGTGACCTTCAAATGACTATCCAAGGTCAAATTTTTGCCACCCATCTTCTGTCCCCCTCGAAGTCAAGCAACTTTTATTTGAAACATTTTGTTGTACATTCAAATATAAAAAAGTTATTTGGGTGGATCACTTAAAATGGCCCTCCCTGTATATATATATATATATATATATATATATATATATATATATATATATACATATATATACATATACATATACAGGGTAGACCAATTTAATCAATACACGCGAATATCTCAAAAACACTGCATTAAATCGAAAAATGTTTCAGACAAAAGTTGTATGGCTTGAAGGAGAATATAAGATGGTGCCATTAATTTGACTTTGAAGAGTCACCTGAACATCAAGTGGAGGTCACCTCCAACTTTTTAAACAGAACACCCTATATACTTTTGCATATTCTTGTAGCTCGATTCAAGAGCTTTCAAAAACATTATAATAAAGTATTTTTTCATTGAGTACTTTTCGAGTTATGAGGCTT